TTTTAAGGGAACATGTGTCACTTTGAGGTTTCAAAACAACCATACAGATACATGTGTGCAATGTCTTCACTGAACATTAGAGAGAATTGGTCAAAGAGACATCCTTAATTACCACATTTAGTTTTACCCACTGAGAAATATCAGAAACTAAGGACATAGGTCAATAATTATCTCACTGTTTTATTCTTAAAAAGAATGAAGTATTTTTATTAAAATGGTTGATGCTTCCAGCCAACTCCAAATGTAGGCTCTCGCGTGAGATAGGGGAGCACTGGTTTCTAAGTCATCTTTGCTCCATTAGATAATTATTTGGACACTAAATGCTTCAGAGGTACTAAACTTCACAATGGTTTCTAAGGAGCAGTTACAAGTATTATAATAACTAGACATGTTAGGATTAAACCTGGACTTAGGAGGATATGTATCTCTAAATGTATCTCTAAAAACGCTATTGGTCATTATTACAAGTATATTTGGTTTAGGCTATTTCAAAATACATTGATTTATCCTTCTTGAGATGATGGTCTATGATCACACTAATAGCCACTTAAAAGCCAGATCATCTATTGGATACATTTCAATTGGTTTATATTGCATCCTGAAATGTTTTTCTTTTCTTTTTATTCTATCTTCTCACTAAAGATCCAGTGGTATAAAGCTACTTTTATTCTCTTAATATTCCATAACTGAAGTGATCTGCTTTGTTTTGCAGCTTTCTCAGCTTAATTCACTGAGGCCTATTTAGTCACACATGATGAGAGCTCCAGAAACATCTTTGGGGCCACGGATGGCTTTTGTAAAGTCCATTTGGGGAAATAGCAAATACAATCTACCATGTCCTAAAATGTAACAGATTATCTCTATGGGACCAATAGAAATATCCAGACGTACCCTGTCAACAGCCAGTTATTTTAATTTACTTAAGGGAAATCAAGTGAATAAAAGACTATATAGTTCAAGAAATTTTATTCTGATACCTATATAAAAAGTTTACCTGAGTGGATGAAGACATTTGCATGAAATTGCACCTAGGGCAGCACTTGATATTTATAACTCTCCCTAAACTATTGCATTGCATTTTTTTCCATTTTCTTGGCACTCCTTTAGAAATGTTCCCAAGTCTCATTTTTTCACCCACTTCAGCCATGGGACCCTTTTTCATAATACTGATGTAAAGACATTTGTGTTACTGTTTATAAATTACAATTGTAAATAAACTGGTACAGTTTGCTCAAAACTTTGTTCTTAAAGACAATGTCTCTTGTCTTTTTCCCTGTTTGTAAATATCTAGATACTATGCAATTAGAAAGTTGAAAACTTTTTTTAAAAAAGGTTTTGGTAGCATACATTAGTTGTACGAGAGGGTGAACGTACTGTGACCATTTCCATACATGCATTCAAATACCCCTCCCTTCAACCTTACCCCACCTCTTACTGTCCTTCATCCTCCTTCCTGACCGAGGATGAGGAATAGTGACCAGGTCCTGAGTTCAAGCCAGAGTACTGTCACACACATACACGAAAGAAATGAAAGACCTTAAACAATCTCAAGATTGGTGCTCTGCCACTTGAACCACAATTGTATTTCAGACTCTTTGCTGGTAATTGTGGATAAGAGTCTCACAGTTTTCTGCCCCAGCTGGCTTTAAACCATTATCCTCAGATCTCAGCCTCCTGAGTAGCTAGGATTTACAGGCATGAACCGCCATCACCTAGCAAAATATTTTTATTTTTGCCAATTATTTTCAACTCAATTGAATATTCTTATAGTAACCTCTAAATATTTCAAACAGGCCTGGCACACACATTTCCTAAGAGTAATGATACATTCTGCCCTAATCACAATACCACAAAAAATCAAAGTGTAATTGTCTCCCAATGTTTTTATACTATTAAAAAGGAAGTTTACAATCCACTGAAGGATTTTAAAAAATTTTTCTTTATTGAGATTGATTACATAAATTTCTCAATATTGTCAAACATTTTAACCTTCAAAAGGTGAGTTGTCATTATCATCGTCTAAAATGTTTGAATTTTGTGAGCTTTGACTATACATCTATTTCTTCCACGTCTTTCCTTTTGCCGTTCCCTCTTTCTCACTCCCTCCCTCCCATCGCTGCCCTTGAGTCGCTTAGTTCACTTGCATCAATGTCCAGTGCAGCTGATGGACCACTCTGCTGTATTGTATCACCTGTTTCCTTCTGATTCTGTGCCCACCCCCTAGTTTTCTTCATCTGTGCACATGTACACACCATATGTGGGGTCAAAAACAGAGTCATCTAAAAACAGTAAGACAAATTAAGAGGTCCTTCGTTTCTTGTATCTCTTGCATTTTGACTTTAACATCTGCCTATCAGGGAGACCATGTGCCATTTGTCTCTGATCTTGGCTTATTTCACTCAACATGATTTGTTCTAGTTCCATCCATTTCCCCGAGATTGCCATTATTTTGTTCTTTCTAATGGCTGTGTGTGATATTCCATTGTATACAGGCACCACAATATATGGATCCATTCATCTGTAGTGGGGCAGCTGGGTGGTTTCCCACATAAGGATTTTTATCTGCAAATCTGCCAAAGACATAAAACGCCTACAAAAATTAGCAATCAAATATAAATGCTGAAAAAAGGATAATTAGCATTGATTTGTTGTTGAAATGATTGTTTCACTCTCACCATCTCTCACTCATCCTCTCTTTAAATAGTAGGATTGTGTTGGTCAGACCTACTACCCACCTCTCAACACCC